TTCTTCTTTAAAATTCTTCTGGTTTTTGAATGCCATAAGAATGCTTATATCACTTTCGATAAGCCCATAATTTTCCGGGGGGGGGGGGGGGGAGAGGGCAAAGTGCCTAAATTTCTCAAATTAGAAAAAGTTTTCACAGAACAAGAAATAAGTTCCTTGCATCATCTCTTAACTACGCTTTTCCCTCCAAGAATTTGCTCCCTCCCTTCTTCTTTCCCCGTTACTCGGTCTCCAATGCTCAATTGATCGTTTGGGTTGGGGTAAACTGCGCGGCGTACGCGACGTACGCAACGTATGCAGAGTGCGCACACGTAATTCAGACAATCGCAAAGAACTTTCGGCAAACTGACGATCTAAAGCTTCCGGAGGGACACTCCTATTGCAGCAGCCAGGTAGGGCGGGCCCACGCCACATGGCCCAGTAGAAGCGTCCCCCGGAAGTTTTAGAAATTCATCTTGCGCCGGAAGTCCTTTGCGATTGTCTGAGTAAAGTGGGGCCTACGCTGCATACGTAACGTAATGTGTAACGTCAATATCAGAATTCAGGTCAGGCTGGCCTGACCCTTTAAGTTATGGTATGGACACTTCACATTTCATATTATGAGGAAGGCGAATGATACGGGGTTAAAATTAAGCCAAGTAGAGATTTGTACTGATCCGGAAGTTCCGGGACAGTTTCGGACAGCTTTCGCTCAGTGCTGGAACTGTGGCGAAGCTGTGCTGCATGCGTTGCTGCTGCCCGCATGAGGTTTTGGGCGGTGGAAATTGGAATTTTTTGATTTTTAAACGGGTTTTTTCCCAGATTTCACTCATTTCGGTATGATTCTCTGCCCCGCTTCTACTCCTGAAATTGTCTCGTCCATTCTCCCTTCATTAACTTTTGAGACCTACTTCAAGTGCTCCAGGAAGCCGCCGCGTAGCCACCGTAGGCATCTGTCTTGAGTTAGAGCTTGCCAACAATACTCAAAAAAGTCGGGAATTATCTGTGATTTTCTGATCAGTTTCATTTTTAGGGATTCGCAAACCCCTCTCTTACTTCCATATCCATGCTTGTCCGTTCATCAATCTACCACGCTTATTTTTGTAATGAGAAAAGCTGCGAACTTGAAGCGGGTTGAAAAAAAAACGCTACTCTGTTCTGTATATGGAAAAATGGGTCTTTATGCTCTCGTCCATTCTCTTTCCGTCATTCTTGTTCAGACTACTTTATGTGTTCCAGAAAGCAGCCGCGTAGCTCGGTATATGTATTAAAAGGGCACAAACAAGCTTTCTAGAAAACATGAAGTAGGTCTGAACAAAAATAACGAAAAGAGAATGGACGAGTGCATGAAGACACATACTTCCGCATAATAGAAGCAGAACTGCGCTCATTCTTTAACCCCGCTTCAAGTTCGCAGTTTTCTCATCACAAGGAAAAGCGGCGTAGAAAAATGAGTCCGAAATGAGTACCTGAGGAAAAAATCGTCAGAAACGGTCGAAAATCTAACTCACTGCCCTCAAAACCCCATTCGAGCGGCTGCAGCGCACACTTCCGGCACAAAAACAGCATATTGCAAGAACTGTGCTGGAAATGTTTTGAAACTTCCGGAATCAGTAGTATAAATCCATCCTGATTTGAATGTTGTTTAGTTTTTTGTCTAAATGTGCGCACGAAATATAAGGTCTCATTATTATTTTTGGAAAGAATGCTTTCTAGGAAATGTTAAATTTGAAGGCTTTTGAAATGCGATCATTAATCTGAAAACGCATCTTAAAAGATCTCAACATTCACCTATATCACCTGTATTTCCGTAAATCATCGTGTTGCACGAGCGCTTACTAACAGTAATGCCTCCATTCGTCCCTGTCTCAGGCGATTGTTAACCAATGTTTAGTATCGTACCAAGTACACGTCGAACGCTCTGAAGGACTTCATTTGTGAACCCCCTGAACGTATCTGACCATCGCGTCGGCGGTCTTCATCGTTCGCGTTTGACGTCTAGTGGTATCCAGTTAGTGATATCTCTCATTTACCGGTTGTCGTCCAAACGCACCACGTGTTCGGCCCATCTTATCTTGTTCTGCTTGGCATATGCGGCACGCACCTGATCTTTCAATCATTGAGGTTAGAGCTCCTTATTCCTTCCCTCACTTGCATGAGTCGGTTCACTCCTAACATCACTCTCTCAATAGCACGCTCGATGACCCTAACGCGTGTACATCCTGCTTCCTCATCATTGCCCTTGTTTTGAAGTGTATGTCAAACAGGAAGAACCAGGAGTTGAGAAGGTAGACGAGGAGCGGTTCTTGGTCTTCTTACCACATCCTCAATTTATATGCTCTCATGTTGCTTGTTTCCTCCCGCTCTTTCATCATTTTGATCTCCGACCTAAGTAGGTGAAGCTTGAGCATTCGATGATGTTAGTTTATTTAAGCATGAAAGGAAAATCAGGCTTTTTTTGTTTCTCATGAACATCGTCTTCCACAGGTTCAGCTGCAGACTGATCCTTTCACACATGTCGTCAAACTGGGCTAATATCGTTTTGCTTGCGTGCTTCTCGGCGTTATTAATACGATGTCATCAGCAAAGCGAAGATGATGTAGTTGCCGACCGTGGACCTTCATTCCGATGTCATCCCATTTCAGCTCACGCAGGATGCTCTCTAAAGTGGCACTGAATAGCTTCGGCGACATAGTATCGCCTTGTCCTACGCCTTTCTCTACGTCGATGATGATGTCCTTGTGGATGTGACACTAGTTGTGAATTTTACAGCTCACGAATTATCTTTATATGCTAAGTAGGAATACTTTGCTTACTCTAGGCATCGATGACGGCTTCAGTCCCAACCGAGTTAAAGGCCTTCTTCAAGTCGATGAAAGCGAGACAGAGCGAGACCGGCATCTGTATTCTCTGACACTTTGTTGAGCCTTGGCAGCGTGTGTGTAATTTATCGCGCTGAATCCTTTTCGAAACTCAGCTTGCTCACACGGTTGTCTTTCGTCCAACTTTCTTCCGATCCTGTTGAGAATAACTCGCGTAAAGAGATTGTAGACTACAGACAACAAGCAGATAGGGCGATAGTTGATAGTTGCCGATGTCGCAAGGATCTCCCTTCTTCTCCAGCAACACGGTCTTGCTAGTCTCCCATATAGTAGATGGTGCAGCTTGCGGCTTCATGAGGCTTCTTCCTGGATTCCACAGTAAGTTTTGTCATAATTGGAAGAAATCAAATCAAAGGCCTAGGTCCGCACTTTTAGAATTGTGCCGCTAATATTTGTTTAGGAGATACAATGACAAATTGAACAACGGTCCCAACATATGAGGCAATGCGAACAACACATGCGAAGTCGCAACTTTTATTTGTTTTAGTTTGCGAAAATAAGAGTGTTTTAGCGATGTCACAGTTGCGGCATAGGTGGACCACCAGTTGATATTGAGATCTTGTTTCTATCTTCGAAGAAAACATCATTTCATCTCAAGTGACAAGATTTAAAGATGATATATGCATATGGGAATGTGAACATGGAGCTTGATCTCATGCTGAATACAGATATAGTACGCATTCCACGAAATGACGGCTCTTTGTTGACTAGTGAACAAACGCTTGTGATTTTTTGCTGCACGAATTCGCGCTCCGAAACGTGTGAACAGGCACAGAAGGGCAGCTTAGGGCCTCTTTGGGCTCAGAAAGAAGCCACAAATTTTCGACGAAGCCAGAGCTTCGAGCTCATCCGCCACATCGTTTTCCCAAGCTCTGTCAAGCAGCTAAGACCTGATCTAGACCAATACTGTGGGGCCACTTTGGAAGCCCCACAGAGCATTTGAGAGCAGTTTTATGAAGTTTATTTAACACAAGAAACATCTTGAAGTTTGTAATGCAGATCTAGTGTGGAAAGGCCCAATGCGAGTCAAATACCTGCATTAAAATCAGATAGCTCTTCATTTTTCTGTGTTATGGACTTTATCAACAGAAGTTTTGCCTTAATCAAATCGCAAAGCGTTGTGCGTCAGTTAGTCTTTCAACTTAGTCGTCGGGAACATTGATAATAGAGATGACGTAAGTTCTTAGGAAAGAATTTGGTCCAACGGCATCACGAATTATGGCGTCACTTTTGTAGCATAAACTCCGCAGAACGAGGATTTGATTCTGGAAACCATTGAAATGAAGTAATGGAAACTTGCTCCACTTATTAATAGTTAAAACTATGCTCTGTTTTGTATACTCAAAGATTATCGTAGTAAAGAATGAATTCCATGGAATTACTCTATGCGAATTCAGTCCCCACGCAATCCGGCAATTTACCAGTTTTGTTCAAATTCAGCACTGGCAGACTACAAATATCAGACGAGTTACGGGCAATTGGAGCATTGCCAAATGGCGTGAAGTTTGCCCGAACCCTAAGGAATGCTTATTGCGATAAGAGGGATAGCCTTTGATCTTCGTGGATGAGTGAAAATAACAGCATCATTAGGTGTACAGAGCAAAAAAATCAGCTCCAATTTTTCTGAGCAACTCTAGTTGAGAAGAAAGAAGCGAAACTAACGACAATCGTAATTAACCCCACACTTGACAAGATAAGTATGTTAGGAATAGTTTTCTTCTAGGGAATTTTAGTCAATATAGCCAAGAAAAGTTATTGTACTGCATGAGTCACGCTTATCTTTGAATTTTGGAGATTAAGCGAAATAAGTTGCGTGCTATCAGTCAACCTTCGATAGAAGTTATCGGAAAAAATTTGGGCGTTGAGACGGCTTACGACTTCCTTGATTGTCGCTAGCACTTTGTATGTCTTGAAGAAATGCTTTTGATACTTCCGTTCTTCTATTCTTTACATTTGGTGAGCTGCAGAATAGTGTATCACATTGAATATCTCGACAAATTTGTCTCATAATTACCTGAATCACAGATTCGCGCATCTGATGCCTTTGATGAATCAAGTTGTGGACTGACAAAAGGCTGTTTCTTGCCTTCTGATGATGATTGCCACGGAGGATGCAATGGGATGAAATTTTCATGGCTGATGAAGTCACAAGATCTTATGCAAATCGAATTAACAGCAAAAGCAAATGAGAGCAGTGTGGGATATGTCGCAGTGGGATTTTCCTTGGACAACATGATGGTAGGTCATTTGGAAAATTTCCGAATCTCTTGAGCAGAATCTATTGAAAAAAATCGTATTTCGCCTCTTTCGTAGGTCCTAGTTTTTTTAAACTTTTTCGGAGATTGATTCACCTTCCAACGCCTTTTTGCAAAAGCACTTACGTTTGTCTAATTTCTTGCAAACTTCGCAGTTATAAAAAAGAAGAGGAAGCTCAAAGCTCAGCATTTTGAATTGTTTCAATTCCAAGATAGGCCTCTAATGTAAAACAGGTGATTGGAGAATGCAGATGAATTGAACAGCAAAAAAGTAAAGCAGTGATTATACCGTAACTCTGCAAGAAAAACCTTTTGTTGATTTATGGTTTTTAGGGCGACGAGAGCGTTATTGAATGCTCAGCACTCAAAGGAGGTTCGCTAACCCTGAAAATATCATACAACATCAATGCTACTGCTGACCCATCCACAAAGGGTAAACCTACAAATCAGAGATTGTCCGGAATCGAGGTAAAAAACAGTCATAGTTGACAATATCACTGTTTGCTCTTCGAAACGCCCTTTAAGTGATGTAAATATTATTTTCCACTGGCCCTACCCTTCCTTGTGAATAAGTCTTAGAATTCTTGAAAGTGGTTTACATAACTTTTCTTTATAAAAATACAGGGTGTCCCAAAAAAATGTTAACACTGTTTGATCGTTAATAACTCCCTTGATTTCAAGTTTTTCGCCGAGCTTTAGGTACTATTTTGTAGAGCGAGGGTAAACTTAGATTTGCAGTATCGAGCGAATCATCTAACGCTCCTCGTTACTGTGGAATTACGGTAGGAAATTTGACAAGGATTTTAGGCCATTGAAACCCATTTTCTGCTTCGGAACAGAGCCAAGCAAGCCAAAATCTCTTGTACTATGATAATGGAAGCCGCTGATTTCGGATATGCAATTTTCACGTCATTACGTTACTTCTTTTCAAAGTTATCCTAGGTAAAGTGTAATAACTGACTTCCCAGCATGTGTTAAAAATGTGATTACATCGTCAAAAAAGCTGAAAACACTCGTAAAAAGTTTTGTAGTGAAATCAGCGTGCGCGAAAATCCTAGTACACGAATTTTCAGATTTTTTGAAAAAAATGTTGTCAGAGGGCAATTTCACGACGGTTCCACATGCTGGAATTTCTTACCATAATTCTACAGTAACGAGGAGCGTTAGATGATTCGCTCGGTACTGTAAATCTAAGTTTACCCTCGCTCTACAAAATGGTACCTAAAGCTCGGCGAAAGACTTGAAAGTAAGGGAGTTATTAACGATCAAACAGTGTTAACATTTTTTTGGGACACCCTGTATAATGAAAAAGCAAAACTAATTTTAGGTTGCTAAAATTGTAAACCCAAATTATTGAAGAAGCTTAAAAATTCATTGATTCGTTGAGAAAGTTTCGCGTAGTCTGGGAAACTGCCAGACACGGAATAACTAAAAGTAGTCCTTCTTCTGCAGACGAATTCTTTAACCATTTATCGTCCACCTTTTCCAATAAAGGCTTTCCCTATTCCTATTGTTCTCCATTTCAGAATTCCGAGTACTTCTCAAACGCGAAGATTTTATTCACAAATGGAACTATTTACTGCTCTGGAGTGTTAAATGTGGCAGGAGCGGTGAACGATAAATGGTTAAAGTTCGATCCCAATAACATGTACTATCTGTTGATGGCAAGTGGTCCCACCAGTACCACAGGTAAATGAAGATATTGGGACGATTTCATTGTTTCAGCTAAAATGTTAAGAAGTTTCATGACTAGTTTATACAAAAGTGTTTGAAATGTGGGACTAGTGTTTTTTTTTTCAGAAAAAACCTTCCTCCTCATTTTTCTTTTTGAATTTGTGAATTTTCTTGAATAAAGCAGACATTCAAGTAACGATCATAGGATGAACTGTTAAATTTGTAGGGAAAGATTATGCGAATGTAATTGAGTCAAAAATATACCCGTTTCACTTCAGTGACTATTATTTCTAACTGAATTGAACTGCATAAAAATGATTTCTTAACTATTCTCGCTTCGTATTTTGCTTTCATATTGATTTCAGCACTTCTTCAGCACAAACATGTTGTGGTTTCGACTAATCCATTGAGCCTCTCAGATGTAAGTTTGCTTTTCTTTTCAAAATGATCGAAATGAATTGGCCACTTCTTTTTAGGGCCTTGGCCTTGGCGGCTTTTGTACGCTCAATAAATTAGATTATCCCTGTTTTATCAAATACTACCTCATAAAACAATTTCTTGAGGATTTTAATGAATTTCGAGCTGTTTTCAGGCGATATCCCATAACACCTTTGATACTTCCACATGTGGACAGTCCAAGGGTTGCTTTATTCCCACGGAAGCGGAATGTTACCAAGGCTGCAATGGAATGCGATTCTCCTGGTTGATGAAGTCATCTGATCTGCTTGAAATCGAGTTGTCGGTGAGAACGGATGCAAATGGTAACGCTGGTTACGTCGGTGTTGGATTTTCGACAGATGATATGATGGTAGGCTCGATTTGTTTTCTTCTGTAGAGGTGATTTTAAAAGTCATTTTGACGGGTAGGAACTATATTTCTCCGAAAGGGGAGGTCCCGCGCGGAAGTCTGCAACGAATGCGCATCGCTTATAACCGCAAAAGATGCGTATTCAATGCAGTTGTCCGCGCGGTACCTCCCCTTTCGGGGACATATAGTCCTCACTTATTTTGACAGAGCGCAGATAATGCAACACTCAAAAATTTCCTGGAAGATTCTACCTGGATGTACGAAAAAATAAATTCCATAACTATCCAAAAATCACAAGAGGGTTCGCCCATTTCCGGATGTCGCGGACCTTATGCACAACTGCAGTGTGTGCTATCGTAATCCAAAGCAGAGCCTCAAAATCCCCACGCGTGCGCTCAAATTCCTATTTTAAGCATTAGGCAAGAATACTTCCTACAGCATGAATTTCTCCGTGATATGATGTCGAAATACGGTAACATAATGTAGTTGTGCAAAAGAAACGTCGTATTCATAAGTCGTGTGAATTTCTCTGTTTAGGGTGACGAAAGTGTCATTGAGTGTTCAGCACTTCAAGGAGAGCCGCTGTCAATGAAACTGTCCTATAATATCAATGGATCTACCACAGCAGACGGTGAACCTACGAATCAGAGGCTATCAGGCGACCAGGTAATCAATACAAATAATGTGCCCGTTTGATTTGAGCAACAGAATATCCTGATTTTTTATTCACAGATTCGATGAATAGTGAATAAGAGACCGTACTCGTCTGATTATTCATTCATTCATTCATTCATTAGATACGCTCTAGGCGTTCCAAAACATTGACAAAAATGTGTCAGTAATACATGAAACACAACAATAATGAGCATTTCACCACATCTTTCAAGCCCAGACTAAGCTTATGAGAGAAAAGATTATCTTATTATCTTCAATAATTTATTATAGGTATTCAAATATTTTGTCAACGCAACAACGTCGCTCTCAGACGGAATGGTTTACTGCTCAGCAGTACTGAATATTGCTGACGCCGTGAGCGATGGCCGCCTGAAGTTCGACACTGGTGCTCTATACTATTTGCTTATGGCCAATGGTCCTACATCTGCAAATGGTATGAATTACTCTGAAGATTTACAGAAGTTAGAAAAAATACCTTTTGTATTGTGAAGTAACAATGTAAGGATCGGACATACGTAACCATTCACGATCACACACCACCAGTCTTTCAAATTTGTTACTGTAGGATTACGGTAAGGCTATAGCGCTAATTTTCAGTTATCCATTTCAGCAAGTTTCTCTTTTCACTAAATAAAACCGCTTACCACTTCAATCCCACCTATCGCAAGTTCGCAGAAGAATGCATTAAAATGAATGAAAATTATAAAAAAAATTATAAAAATTCAAAGGGCCAAGTTCTGTATTTCAGCATTTTTTTTATGATTAGCTATACCTCCGTACTGACCGTAGACAATTTTTAAGTTTTTTTTTCCAGAGAATCATCAAATATGCATAACAGTGATTCAGGTCCCGTATTTCAAATCAAATTAGGATTTCATAGCCCAAACCCCCTACTTCCCCACATCAAATCAAAATTAAGTTGTAAATGCGAGTCAACATTTTATTAAAAACTTTCTGATAGTTAATGACATCAAGCAAGAAAGTTGATCTTTGCATTCATTCACTTCCTGTTTAGTGTACCTGGGAGTTTGCATGCAGTGTTATATTGTCATAAAACTCACTTTTTTTATAGGACTTCTTCATCATGTTCACGATGTCACCTCTGCAAAACCTATGAACCTTTCAAACGTTAGTTCAATAATTGAGTAGAGTAGTCCATAAACAATTAGGTTTGAATGTTCAGGTAGTTCCTAGTTTCGACACGGATTCATGCGGAATACTCAAAGGATGTTTCCTCGCTCCCAATTCTGACAATACACCTAGTGGAGTCGCAGTTTCTTATCAGTAAGGAGCCTTTCTAATTGTGATGGAAGCAAAAATTATTACAAGCTAAAAAGGTCGCCGAAATTCGTTGCATAGTTTTTTTTTCGAAGTAAATGTATACCAAAATTTTCCTTGTTTGCTATGTGTGCATTTGCACATTTTCTAAGATGATGGAAATGAAAAACAAGTTTTTCAGGTAGGAAGTGAGTTTAATTCTATTGCACAAATTCTTCAAATGCAGTTGTGTTCTAATTTACAAAAAAAAAAAAGCAAGAAGAAATTTATGAAAAACAGTGTCTAGGGCGCTTGACCAATCCCATCCTCGAAAATGTACAATTGCACACATTAACAAGAAAAACTATTACACTTGACCGTCTTTTAGCTTGAAAAAAAGATATACAGTGCTGGCCATAGCTATAAAGCCACCCTAAAAATCACCGTAATTTGCTCTCTCTTGCTCATAATTGTCTGAAAAACCACTATCTTGTGCGCAAACTAACGTCATACCATTGACCAAAACGGCTCCCAATTTTATGGATTTTGGCCGGTGAAAACTTTAGAAATTTGAAAAAACGGGTTCCGAAGGCTGGTCACAGCTATAAAGCCACCTCTCATTTTCAATCAGTATTACGTTTTTTGAATCTCAAATTTTTTGTACATATACAACATCAAAATATGAAACATTTTTATACTTGAAAGGAGTCGCCTTTCAAAAAGAAGATTCGTACTGCATTTTTTGCTAAAAATTGCATAATAACTCACATTATTTGCAAAAAACTGCTTTTTCACTAAATTTTGAAGCACTTGTTTGACTCGGATGAACGTCCTAAAATTTGCTTAGCCTTTGCACTGAACGAGGTGAAAAGTGCTGAACTCAACATTGCGTAGTCGCTAATCTTGGTAAACGAGCCTCATCTTACCGAGGTGTAAGCGCGCTTCTGAGGCGCAAAACTAGGTTTCTGACACGCGAAAACTTTTGGTTGGAAATTGACACCTTGTCTGCATGGCGACGTACTCATGCAGAAGCCGCCAGGTTTTTTTTGCAAAGACCTATTTGCCGCAATGAAGTTAGAACGCTTTGTCTGCAGTTCGGTTGTGCGCAGTGTATTTCACAAGACTTCAAATTTCACTGATTTAAACTCCTCATCAATTCAAATCTTACTAAACTGTCAGAAATAGAAGGATTTTGAACTTCTGAGCGGTTTTCCGCTCGATCGAGGTGGTTAGAGTGGATCATGATCAGACGGAGTGCACCACTCATTTTTGGAAAAAAGGCGTACAAAGCGGAACCAGAGTCCTCAGAGTTGCGATGACGTACAGGCTATGCACACGAGTCTGTCGTTATACAAGCGACGTGCTGAGCACGCGACAGAGCTTTTCGGGCATTAGAACTCAATTTCTGCGGTTCGAAAACTCGTCTACCTGGAGGTGAGGTTGGGGCTTGTTTATCAATATCAGCGACTACGCAATGTTAACTCTAGCGCTTTTCGCCGTATTCATTGCAAAGGCTCGGCAAAGCATAGGGCCTTCATCCGAGTCAAACAAGTGCTTCGAAATTCAGTGAAAAAGGTTTTTTGCAAATGATGTGACCTATTATGCATTTTAGAGCAAAAAATCCAGTACGAATCTTCTTTTTGAAAGGCGACCCCTTCCAAGTGTAACAAATGTTAAATGTTTTGATGTTCTATATGTACAAAAAATTTGAGGTTCAAAAAACGCAGTACTGATTGAAAATGAGAGGTGGCTTTATAGCTGTGACCAGCCTTCGAAACCCGTTTTTTCAAATTTTCAATTTTTCTCCGGCCAAAATCCATGAAATTGGGAGCCGTTTTGGTCAATGGTATGACGTTAGTTTGCGCACAAGATAGTGGTTTTTCAGGCAATTATGAGCAAGAGAGAGCAAATTACGGTGATTTTTAGGGTGGCTTTATAGCTATGGCCAGCACTGTAGAATGTTGGATTGAATGCGCAAATGGTGTCGCTCAAGGCACCTTATGCACATTTACTTCCCTTGAAATGTATTGCAGAGTGAAGATCTGATTAGTAAGCTTCCTGCAATTGATTTAGTACAGGGCTCGGCGCAGGTGGCTTATAAGCAAGCTGGATATCGTTTTTGGGACAAAAAAGCGAGGGGGTTTCGATTTTGTGGACGAAAAGACACGCAATTTGCGGCGTTTTTTTAGTCGACTCGTTTTCGAAGATTTTTAGAGATTATGGTCTAGGGACAAAGGGAGCTTCGTAAAAATTCACAAAAGTCAAGGTGGACTTCGTTTTTTGCGTTTTCATCTAGCCACCTCTTGCCGAGCCCGATTTAGTATGGCCACTCACCTCTTTGCCCTTCTCATAGCTCATACAAAATAAAAAAGTCGCCTATCACGGACTTTTTAGCCAAAGAGAAAGGCGTATATTCTAGTGTGGGCAATGACTCATTCATTTACTTCGAACTAGTGGCTCCATCCACTTCAAAGTATGGAACATTTGTGGCTGTCACATTCTCCTTTGATGGCTCCATGGTAAGAATATTTAATCATTGAACTTTCCCTAAACTTCCCTAACAACGAGGACTACTAGTTGTTGAGAGTTGGCTTTTCGTTCTGCCAGATTATCTCACTGAAGAGCTCCTTTGAAAGTTTTCGAGTTCTTGAAAGCCACTGAAACTATCATATCCACCTTCTTTGGAGTTCTTCATGTCTGCAATTCAATTCGCTGTTCTCTCAAAATTCTCTTCGACATCTCCCAGGAAATTTTTGAGGAACTAAAGCTGTATACAGTAAATTCTCTAGAGTTGTTGGATTACTGGAAGGGGAGGGATATCGTGTGCAAATTATAGTAAACCAATTTGCAAAGTAACGCTTTTGATATTCAGGCAAACACACCTTCAATAGAGTGCTCATCGCTTGGTGCAGATGATCTTTCAATGAAATTCTCCTACAATGACGCTTCCGGGAAGAATATTCGAATTGCAGGAGAAGAAGTACTTTTTATTTCCCAAATTCTTCACAAAACTATTAGGTTGTCCCATAAGTTTTTTCATACCTGAATTTTCAACGGCATAATTCAGTTCTTCTTGAACCCCTGACGAAATGCAAGGTACCGTTCGACAGATCAAAGTAAGCACTACAAGATGGCCTTCAAAAGTTCGCACCAAGCTCAATCCGCAACAAGTTCAAAGCCAAAATAAAAAATTTTCCGAATTTCCGAAAAAACGGAAATCATCATATCTCTGTTCAAAACAGCTCTGCAAATTTCCCACTTTTTCATGCATATACTCTCCTCATCGGATATCTATACATGCGCTTGCTGCATTTTTCTGATGGCTAGAAACCAAGAAAAAAATAATGCGCTCAATTTTGAAAGTTTGCCTGTATCACTTCTGTGTACCCCGCAAATGGTTGATTATATAGCTTATTCACTCAGAATTACTGCTAAAAATTTGCAGCCTATTAGGTGCTGTAGTTCTTGAGAAAAATCGAATTGAAGGTCCGCATATGAAAAAAATTATGGGACAACCTAATATATAACTAAGCTCATTTAGAGCATCCGTGACTCATATTTTATCTATGAATCAGCAGTATTTCAAGATGGTCAGATCTACTGCAAAGCTTTGGTAAATATACAAGGATCATCAGTAAGCGATGAGGTAAACAGTTTTCTTTTTTGTTGTTTCGCTCTTCTTTATTTGTTCTTGTTTTTCATCTCTCCTTTTTCTTCATCTCCTTTTTCTTCTCCTCATGTTCTTCTTCTTCCTCTTCTTCTTTTCTGATTTTCTTCATCCTTATCTTCCTTTGATTTTTCTTCATAGATATCACAGTGAACACAGATTTCTGCTTGGCCTTTCCAAAGCTCCGCGTCCACCTCTTGAAGTGTTCAAATTTTTTATAATTTACAGATATTCACCTATACAACGAGTCCGTACGTTCTTATACTGACTACAGGCAGTACCGATACAGATGGTAAGTTTACATTGAAATAACCAAATTTTCTCAATCATAGATTACCCTCAGGTCTGCTACCATCAGCATCTAGCTACACAGCTGCACTTGCCACACCGTTATCCCGTAACGAGGTGAGTTAATTACTTTTTGAAACTATTTAAAAAGTTGTGAATTGAGGCTAGTTTCGATGCTGGTACTTGTAATGTGGAGAAGAATTGTGTTCTTCCCGATGAATGCTACCGAGGATGCAATGGGATGGGCTTTTCCTATAAGGTAATGTAGCATCCCATAATAATCTTGGAGATGTGTGGGCTGAGCTTTATCAGACTCCACCTTCACTAATGGTCTGAATTTACAGTTCCTCTTCCAGATTCTTCCAAACTCTCTGATGAAACTTGAGCTATTTTCTGTCCTTACCGCTAGCAATCAGTATATTGCAGTAGGATTTTCGGGGGATGATAAAATGGTAATGTTTCGTTTTGTTATATTGTTTATGTTGATATATTATTTCATTTAGAATTTTTATTGTATGTTGAAAACGAAAAATAAATTGAGTGACCTTGATGTTTTATATCATGTGTTATGCCATCAGAAATTACATAATTGAAGGCTTCTAATGGTTTGAAATATTCGAAATATTATAATTACTATCATTAGAAACAAAAAATTTTTTCTGGAAATTATATGAAAAATTGCGGATTGGGGCCAGCTCAAAACAGCCGACTAAATGGATTAAATTCAGGGCAACGACTACGTAATCGAGTGCTCTGCTCTACCAAACCAAAAATACTCACTGAAATTCTCTTATAACAACGACTCCCCTAAAAATGTGCGCATCCCCGGTGAAGAGGTAAGTACCAAGTTGAATTTTGCTACCTATAGGAGAACTATTTTCAACTTTAGAGCATTGAATCGACATATTTCACGCAAAGCAACATCGTCACCGTCGATGGAGAACTGTATTGTTCAGCTATTGTAAATGTATCCGGATGGGCACTAAGTGATCAGGTAGAGATTTATGACACAACAAAATCGAAAAATTAGAAAGACGAACCGCAGTCGTATAGTTGTTATGATATTATTGCTTTCTTGAGTGCTTCTAGATATATGCACCTCAGAAATTTCGATTTCTAAGAATTTTTTAATTTATAGGTATTCACTTACAACTCTGCACAGGCCTACTATCTTCTGCTAGCCAGTGGCTTCACTGACAATAGTGGTAAGTTGAGTAGCTCTTATAATACGTTTTACCTGAACATATTGAGCTGAAGAGAAGCATTGTGAAGTGGTGATTCTTGAGTTTGTAAGATTCCATCCAAGAAAAGTAGTATGTACGACTGAATGTGGTAATTTTGCTGAAGTAGGATAATGTGGGTAAAATTAGACTTTAACTTGAGTCTTTTCACCCTTTCGTCCTAGAAAAGACACTTTGGCAAAGGCTTACACATAATATATTCGGCATGAGAGTGATGACGAAGGGTCACTTTGGCATCTTTTTCTATGGACGTAAACCATTCATAAAAGCGGCACTTTATCCTTCATTTTTTTCTTTCCGAAAAATTTTTGTACTTCTCGCTTCTATGAATTTGAATTTTTGAGCGCACCGGTTATACCCAAAGGCTATAACACTTCACAGCCTGAAATGACGAAAAATTCTATGCGAAATTTTTTCTCACAACCGTAATTTAGCAATAAAACTGGACCTTAGAACTCATTACAGAACTACATTCACTATGTAAGATTTTTAGGACTCACTATACATAAGCACACTTACGTCTCGACTCCTCGACTGTTGGATGAAAGCGATACTCCTTTGGTCCGTAATCAAAGTCTCATTGAGGAAGCATATGACACAAAGTTTTTTCTAGAATTCCTTTGACACTGCCACATGCGGTACCAAGAAAGGATGTTTCATTTCTGATCAACCAAATGCTATGAGAGCATCTTATCAAGTAAGGGATGGGATGCATGTCACATGAATCTGAATCCATCCGCCATTATTCAGGTTCTCTCCGCTCAATTTATTCGTATCGAGCTTTCTATGAAAACTTCTACTATAACATCATTATATCTTGCTCTGGGCTTCTCCTTCGACAATCAGATGGTAAGTATGGGTTCGCATGACTCCAGTTCATATTTTCAAATTTTTTAGGGAAACGATAATGTTATCGAGTGCTCAGCTCTTACTGGGCAATCATTATCGATGAAATTTTCATACAATCCAAATCATACAAATGCGCGAATCAAAGGAGAAGAGGTAGATCATGACTAGATTTAGTATGAAATCATCTTTTCGGAACCCAAACCAAATTTTCAGACTATCAGATCACAGTATTTTCAAAATGAGACCGCAGCGATTACTGATGGAGTACTGTACTGCACAGCCGTAGTAGATGTCCGTGGTTGGCCCTCTTCGAATGGGCAGGTAAATTTGATGATTTTGTGACTAGAGATAAAATTTATGGATACATAGAATTTGAAAAAACTCTAAAAACATCTAAAAGAAGAGAAATCTAATGTGATGTGCTGAGAGAGGGCAGAGAGTTGCATGCATTTACGAAGATATTTGCACCGTGAAAATGATGAATGTTCCAGGTGTTCCAATACAATGCAAATCAGACCTATTACTTGCTGTTAGCTGCCGGCTCAGCGCTCAGTTCAAGTGAGTTTCTTGAACAATGATTCACTCCATTACCATGTCCTTGAAGAGTTAACGCTATTTGATGAGCTTTAGTTTTCAGTAAAATTTGTAAAAATAGGGTAGAAACAATTATTCTCAAATTTAGGCCTCACACAACACAAAACAACGGATGTATCCAGTCCACGATTGCTAACGGACTACGATGCCGACTCCAGTAACGGAATGAATTCGACAACCAAGGGCCGCCTAATTAAAGCTCATGGTAAATTTGTAAAATAACAAATGTTATAACCTTTGTTTCAACTGGATTGGCGGCTGGAACGGGGCTTGATGACTTAATTTCGCTCGCGTTCGCGCCAGAGTCACAGTCGCCTCTCTCGCGCTCGTGCTCTCTGATCATTCTCTAGCCTTAACTAGCTCACAAAGCCGCGCCTTCCAGCCGCCAATCCAGGTGAGTCAAAGGGTTTCTTTGTGCACTAAGAGCTGAGCTAGGAGATGAACCGCGACAAATATTCAGTTCATTCATAACACATAAAGTCCATCTCGGGTGGAATAATAGCAACCTCTCTCACAGTCAATCACGCTGCTTTCATCTTTTTTAAACCTGGGTGAAAACATAATTTGGATCAATATTTTGGATGCTCACAGAAACTGTTAGTCAGCAATAGTCCTCAAAAACACACCAAGAGTCATAAATTTGGATATTCAGCTATTCTTATGTTGCTCGCATGGTTCATCTTTGTACCGACCGCTGCTATGTTTGCTCGATTCTTACGATCTAGCTGGCCTACGCTTAGACCTGGAGGAATACTCATCTGGTTCCACGTAAGAACGTTCATTTAATTCCTTCTCTAAGGTAAAAGAGATCATATACAACACAAAATATCTGCAGGTTCACCGTACCTCTAATTCGATAGCTATCACTTTGATGACGGCTTCTTTCATATGCATTCTGACAGCAAACAATTGGAAATGGAAAGGACCAGGTAACTTTGAGCCATTTCAAGGATAAGTGCTTACGCTTTCGAGAAATCAGTAAATTTTGTAAAGGTAACTTATGCTTCAAATGGCTTGACAGCTGGAATTTGAGGCTTTGTGACCTATTAAGGCCGCTTGCCCCCGCGGCGCAGTCTGCGGCTCTCCCGCGCGCTGCTCTCTCAATTACCTGGCCTTAATTAGGTCACGAAGCCCCGCCTTCCAGTCGCCAAGCTAGTTGAGTCAAAGGTAGTTCTTCTTCTAATAAGTGGGAAAAATGCCAAATTTTAACTGAATTATAAAGTCACGGACGAAAATCCAACTAGCAAGATTCACTTTAGGATCCCACTCTGGAAAGTGGGTTGAAGCGCATACAATGATTGGAATTATTGCCCTATGTCTAGCGTGGATGCAACCATTTGTCAGTGCGATGAGGTAAAAGCTGATAGAGCAAAGATTGAAATCACATGCGTTAATTAATAGATTTTCCAACATTTTTAGATGCAACCCATCACATCCGCGTCGACCATACTTTAACTGGGTCCACCGCGGAATAGGTGCTACTGCAATGGTCTTAGCTAGTGAGTTTCGGCATCTAAGGATTGTGGCACCTAAACTATTTACGCAATAATGCACAACAAGTAGCCATAGGCGTTGTGCTGGTTACTTTATACCTTCAATAATCAGATCTATGTTCCAGCAACTGCGATTGCCATCGCTGCCTACCACTTCCTAAGCATTTGGCCTCATCAACTGATTCAACTCGTACTATCACTCGTGCCACTCGTTCTAATCCTCTCAATGAGCACAGGTTTCCTGCTTGTTGATAGGAAGGACATCATAAACGATTTGAACTTCAAAAAAGTGAGTCGGTTCAATAATGATAACCCTTTGCTTCAACCATATCGGCTGCTGGAAGACGAGGCTTCATGACGTAGGAAGCGACTGCTCGCGTTCGCAACGCAGTCTGCGCCGATCTCGCGAACATGCTCTCTGATCATTCCCTAGCCTTAATTAGGTCACGGAGCCCCGCCTTCCAGAAGTCAATTTAGTTGAAGCAAAGGGTGTGTAGCTTTGGTGAGCCAAAAAAGCTTTTTGATGTAAGTTGTGTCTTAGGAAAGCATTGTGCGATAGAGCAATATTTTGCAAATAAGATTTGTTTGATTATGCACGTTGAGACATTTGATATAGATAGCTCGGCATAGTGCTTTGAGATATGTTTTCCGCATGCGCACTTTGTTTGAAAAAAAAGGATAATCAATTCATTAGAGCAAAGACGTATGTTTCCCAAAAGTGCATATCTCTTCTTTTCGACTACAAATCTACTGCTGTTACTTATAACCATGTATTATTCCAGGTTCAAAGAAATCGTGAACTTGTTGTGTATATAGCTGTTATAATTACAGCAGCTGTTGCCATCACATTATCCGTATTCGTAGGAATTGGAGCATAATAATATGTAGCATTCAAGCATTCTGTGCAATATTTTGGTTATGCTGTCTTGTATTAGGTTGGTGCACAAGTAATGCGCGTTTTTCTAGCCCTTGTTTCAAGATAGCTTTTCTCCATCGAAGTTTCTCCTATGAAACTTACTCAGCATACTGTTAAGAAGCTTCTTTCATGCTCTATTCAACGGTGGTTGAAAGAGCTTCTAGCCTCATTCTTTAAAATTTTATAGAGCCTCATGCAACCGCACTCAAAACCAGAATTTCGTTGCACTTACTTTTTCGGCCAGAATTCAAACGCGAATAAAGGCATCCTTTTGAAAATTTAACCACTGTATGTAGTAGAAATTTTCTACGTTATGCACGCTTTACTGTTTTCCTAGAAATTACTTAAAATGAGATCTCGGCGCCTCAACATATGTTATGGTTTTGACCATTCTGTGGCCTGTAGATTTTCTTTGAAGGGGGCAATCGCCAAAGTTCTGCTCATTTCTGTAAGCGTAAGGGTGGGACTCATGTTGACAGTTTTTGCGGAATGTGGAAGCTGTTCAGTATGTAGAAAATCAAAAATCTCCATATTTTGGGCTTTTGAGGGCTACGAAAAAATGTCAAAAAAAGCGGACAATTTTGAATATTATTTTCTTCCTTTTCGCAAGTATTCTTTATTTGAACTCTTTCGTACTTTTTTTGTACTACTATCTCGCGGCTACAAGATAGTCAACTTATCATTTATACCGACAAATCTTGAAGGAAGTTATGATCAGTTAAAAATGAGGTTTCCGAAAAAAGATTTTTTTGCTTATCAATCCATATTTTTCCACCGATTTGCGATGTTAAAATAAGTTAATGTGTGCTGTATAGAGAGAGATTTGGTGCCTCTGAGGAACTTTTCCGCACTGGAAAATATGGATTTTTTAGAAAGTTATGGCACGTCAAAGTGAGAACTCGCAAAACGCGCATTACTTTTGCACCAACCTAATATATTGGTAAGCAGTTATACAGGCTAACATGATTGTTTGTTCTTGAAATAAATATTCAGTCCGTTTTGTTTGTCGTTACCAACATTTTTGCAAGCTCGGTACAAGTGGCACGAGCTCTATCTAGAGGTACACGTTTTCTGCCAGATGCTGAAACGCGGGTCCCGTTTCATGACGAATGGAAACGTACGTAGTAACAACGGCTAATTTTGCGATGGAAATTGCGACTAGAGCAGCATCTTCCATATGATTTCAAATTGCTTTCTGTGAGACACTGAGCATGAGCATTCATCAATTTTGTATGCAATCTTATTCACAGCTTGTGAGTCACATTTTCCGTTCTTTATTGAGGATTTCCACTATTGATCGTCCTGGTCTGCTTTGTGACTTTGACTGGTTTTTCTTGAATTTTAGACGGCTGGCCAAAACCATGCATATCCAAATGCTGACACTATGACGCTTTCCTTCTCGATAATTTACAAGCTCAACAGGTGACTGTGAAAAGACTCGACATCCTACGTGGCTCAATTGCTCCTTTTCCTTCCACCAGGGTGTTTCTTCCAAAAAAGGCTGTTGATTCAAATTTGAAACGGGAAATGCGGAAGGAGTGCACGCTGCATTTTCTGATTTTTCATTCCGTACAAGGAGAAAGGGGCTTTGCAGATGTTATACCTGCGTTCTGTTTCAACTGGTGCTTCACCATTCCTACTGCACTCGCCACTCCGCGATCATATTTTCTAGGCAACCATGTGGTCGGCGTAGATGACTCTGTAAGACGAATGGAAAGGAATGCGGTTCTTCAAACAAATGTAAGTTAAGCTTTCGTGATTTCGTAGAATAACATTTAAATAAGGATCCTTTTTCCAACTTCACTTATAAAAAACGATCAAGCCAACGAAGCCAATCTCGGATGATGTCATCCCATATTGCAACAGCCAAATACTGAAATTTTCAAAATTCTACTTAAGCAAAAGCTCTTGAAATTACATAACCTTGTTACGCAGATAACAAATATATAGATGCAATTCCTTACAAAATCAAAAACTTGTAACAAATACTGATCGCTCTTTCTCAAAGTTTTCTCCTCATATAGGTACAAGATTCGTTCATGGGTATCATAGTATCAGCCTAATCTAGAAATCAGGCCTGCAGTAACATTGCCACAAACTTTAACTCTTTTTGATCTAAAAACGATGTTCAATTATTCAAAGGCTTTAAACCTCAAGTAAAACAAGATATACGAGGTCAAATGTTAGTAAACATAGGAGTCATTAGGTGAAAGCAATTTCACAAGTATTCGATACCACGTTACTATACAAAGAACAAAAATGCAAAGAAGACATTACGTAAGGAACGCTGTGCTGTTTCACACAATCGCTGTGCATTGAAAAAACGATACACTAGCTATGAATGCATTGGATTGCAATGCATGATACTGTTGTATCAGAAGTCTATTTGATGAAATCATAGCTAAATAGCTTATCTCGCATTTGATTATGTACAACCAATTTTCTCTAAAATGCCGCTGACATAAGGTGGTCGTAATGGCGCTGGGGAAGTAAGAGTCAAACACCAGTGTTAGAAATATCAACATGAGTTTTGCTTAAAGTTGCTTGCGACCATGCTACAGAACAGGCGCAATCTGTTTACATAAAGCAAGTCGCTAGCAGATCCCGCTCGACATCGAAGGGTCATTCATCATGCCCTAGAGTCGCCATGATTTGTTGCAACTGGCAGTTAGATATGCCAAAAGGCAACATGTGGAACTTATACTATAAGTAATTTTATACCTTCACTGACAACTGTGACAATGGCTTACCCTAGGCCAGTTCGTGCGCGCCATACGGCGAATCTGCTTCATGTCCTTCTCGATATGGTTAATGGCGGTTAGGGCCCGGTATGAGTCCGTTGTTAAGCTTTTTGATTACAAAGTCTCCCCTCATTTTCAAAAATTTTACGAATGCCTTTGATTCTTGCTCACCCCTTTTCCACTCTCTGACTGTCAGCGGATAAAATTTCCGGCTTAAGTCCGAGAAATTGGAAACAAACTCTTACAAGAAATATTCGTAATTAATCATGTTTCGAAAGAACGAGTTTAAATTTATTAACCACAAAATCAACATATAAAAAGTACGAAAATGCGAAAAAATAAACATACATTACCACGAACAAGCAGGTTGCTGATTGAAAGGCGGGACAAACCCCATAAATTGGTCGCGGTGGTTGACATAAGGCGGGGGGGGGGGAAGCACTCCCGTTTGCGGCTAACAGGAAAGGCATAATGAAAAACAAAAACAAAAATGAGGATGCAGGACCGGTAACATTAGCCGGTACAAATCGGACACCGCTCAGTTTAGATTGAGATCAACGGAAAAGAAGCTCTTCAAATGAGATAGGTAAGAAGGTAAATAAGATGAGGTGACTGATGCACAAGAATGAACAAAATCATCAAAATTTCGCAATCAAAGCTAAGTTGGCAGTAAGGAAAAGAGCAGAAAATGACGATGGTGCGCGATATCCAGCAAGTTAATTTTTGGAAAAAGAGGAAAAACGGCACACAGCGGGAGATATAAAAAAGGCCTTATGCTGATGACCTTCTTTCGTGCGCATAATTATCTTCTCTGAGCATGGCTCTCTTGCATCCGAGCATCTCTGAACAATGCACTTGCCGGAGGTGCAGAATGGTTACACCCATCTAGCGGCCCTTTCTTTTACCTATGATGTTGTTTACTTACAAATTTGCATTTCAATCTAGAAACCTTTGCAATAATTATTAAAGAATTCTTGCACGCCTTCTGCTACATCATCGCGATTTTCTCATACTTTTTAGAAAGCCCTTTAGTTCGTTTCAAGTCTTCGTTCGGATTGAAAAACAGTAAAAGGAGAAGTCATCGTTAGTAACTTTGCCCAATCACTGGAATTTCGCTCTACATTGCTGCGTATCCTCCTTGTAAATCCACATAGCTGTGAAGCTGAACTTCGCCAGTCAGTTTTTTTTGCTGAATTTGAAATCATTTTCTCTAGTGTATGGCTTGCATGTAATCTACGTGCAAGGTACTCCTTTGATTTCAAAACAGCCTCAACGCAAAATTCACCCAATGTTTGTTGTCCTACGCCTTATTCAAAGCGAGCTCGTGGAGCCACCCCCCCCCCCCACTACATCAATCCTTTCATCGAAATTTGACGAAGAAAGGCGATTGACGCGCATGAGTAGCAGTGCTGCAGTGTAGTCCCAATGGTCTGGTGGCTAAGGGGTATCTGTGCCGTATTAGATGTTGTAGGCATTCTGATTCGCGTAAGGTAAGGCACATTGTCCATAACTAGACATAGCGCTTTCCATTTGCCCTCCCTATCATGCATGGAAAACATTCCTGTAGCCATGCTTGGAATAGAGCGTGGTTTATTTTTATGATAATTCCCAATTTCAACCGTTTCTTGTATTAAAGTTCTCGTGCAGTTACCATCTTCTGCTATCTGCTATCAGCGGCTCTCGTAACCCCTCTAGACCAAATTTCAGCCGAATCTGAGATTTTGGCTCCATACCTACCGTAACCTAACCACATGGCTCTGTTGTAAGGCTTGCTTTATAAAAGTGTGAGCAAGCTTAGATCTGTTTGTTTGCTAAATTCAATTGTTTTATTTCATAAAATTTTTATTTCACCTGTTCTATCTATTTAATTAGTATGTGGCAGCTTTCGTAAAACTATACAATTGAGGATTACAGGTTAATGAAATGAGAAAAAATATTACACAGTAGGTACACGTATGTACAAAAGATCAAAAAAAATTGAGATTGATTGCTACGTGTTTGAAAAAAATGACACTGATCAAAGACATGAATACGTATACAGCACATAAGTTAAAACACTTGAGCGCAATGAGAAAATGTGTCAGAACACAGATTGATTAAATATGTACGTGTTGAGAAGAGATACAAAAGCATGCAGGATTAAAGATTCATAGGAAAATTTAAGCGGTTTTCCACTTAAAAAGTTGATCACACGGAAATTCGAGCGATTTCCACCACAATA